TAAAAAAAATAGAGAACAACAAAGAATGACAGCAGTAAGAATTTTTTGTTTTCATTGTATTAATGTACTAACTATATTACTATTGGTAAAATTTTAAATATATTTTCAGAAAATCAATCGGAGGAAAAAGGGGTTCACCTATCTTCACCAAAGTAAAAGCAAACAACTAAAAAACCTCCTCCCACATGATATCTCAGAGCATCAAGCTCTGAACGATATAAAAAAAATTGTGGCCAAAAGTGGGTACCACAGCAATGAGATATCAGAAATAGATGATGAACTTGCTAATGATGAAAGAAGGAAAAGGATTTAATATCCTCTTAATAACGACCGCAATAATCATGTGGTGAAGGGTATAAAAAAAGGATGGTGGTCGAAAAAAGTAATTATTACAATAGATAATTTATATCTATATTAATACCAGTACTAATATGCTTTATATACTTTTTAGTTAAAGCAAATTTTGTTGCTATATGAAGATACTTCGCTAGCACAAAATTATAATAAGCCGAAATGGAATCACTGGGTAACTGATATTGATGATAACTCAACACCACTAGCTGGGGCTCCTAGCTAGTATATTTCATGCAACTACGTTTCTGCTGTTTCACTTGGTCCTGTTATAAATTCTTCTGGTGCTGATGGTAACTCTGATAATTATTTAGAGTCTGGTGCTATTATCTCTGATACATATTTTGTATTTGATTCTGTCTCATCTGGTTCTGCTTTGTCTGGTTCTGCTCCTGATACATATTCTGGGTCTGGATCTGGATCTGGTGCTGTTGCTCCTGATATTAATGCTGCCCCTGATACTAATTAATATGCTGCTCTCAATGCTAATCATTATTCTGCTCCTGATACTAACCACTATGCTGCTCCTAATGCTAATCATTCTGATACCCCCAAAAATAATCATTCTGCTGCTCCCGATACTAATTGTTCTGATGCAAATAATCACTCTGCTACCTCCATTATTAATATTGATACTCTCAAAACAATTCATAGTAGAAGTTCTCCCAGTATCAATCTTAATATTATATCTGGTACAATTTTTAATATTTCGAATACAAATTATTTAAGATTTTTACTAATGTTTTATTTATATAATTTTTAAAGGGACTACTAATAGCAATAATGATAATGCTGATAGTAATCATGAATCTGGTAATGTATTTGATAGTTTTTATATG